TGCAATTTCACAGTTAAAAATGTTCTCATGCATTTATATGCATTATCTGCGTAATATTTCTTTTCGAAGAAATGTCAGATTTATTAAATACACATCCATCCATTTGCGGATATAATTACATTAAAGGAAACACTAATAGAGATAAAAAAAAAAAGCCAAATAGGGACAGCTGTCGTGTGCGCGCGTGCAAAAATTTTTCTTCCCGATACTTTCAAATTCACACCGATGTCGAGGACGAGGACGGCTCTGTCGGTCGGGAGCACTTAGAAAATCGATAAGCCCCGGCTCGCTTGATCCGCCGTTGGCTGCTGCCAGGCCATATCTTGATTAAAATCAGTGCCGCCGCCCGGTACTCTCCTTTCTTCGACATTTCCCCGCCGTTTCTCTCGCCACCCGCATCCCTTGCAGCCATCGTCGACTTCGTCGTCGTTGTCGTCGTCGTCGTCGCCACCGCCGCGCGATAAATCCGGTTAGTCTCGTTAACGTCCTAAGTCACCGAGAGTCTCTTTCGCGTCATTCCCCGTCACTTTCTCTTTTACGAGATGTGAAAAAGATCCGCGGGATGCTCCCTCGCGATCGAACGCGAGATATCGAAGGTTTGGTCGAACTTGTGGGTCGACCGCATTGCCCGATCGACGAAAGTGAAAGCTTGCTCGACGCATAACCGGTCGCATGCTGACCCTAGGAATGCATCTGGCCGGTATATTAACTCCGTTTGCGTACGGAGAGCAGCTGCTCGAACGACTCGAAAGTTTCACAGAAAAAACAGTATCCTTGAAAGATTGCAAATATGCCTTGATTCAAGTATATTTTATCCTTATAATAGCGCCAAATATAAATAATTTTGGATAAAGGATAATTTATCCTTAAAACAAAGTGCAAAATATTCTTGGTTGAAGCTGAAATTTACTTATAAATATTGCAAGGACAAGTGACAAGTGATCGGATATAAGCGGTACTTTCAAGTATATATAATAATTTTTAGTTCAAATGTGACTAAGTTTGTTTTTACCATATGCGATTTTTCAAACAAGAATATATCTTAAAGATAAAATATACTTTACACAAACTTATTTATTATTAAGGCAAATGAAAATTTGTGATCACAAAGAGAGACATTCTATGCTTAAATCAATCAAATAGCGTTCAAGAATAAAAATATACTTGAATTAAGGATTCCTTTCGACGAGACCTAGATTCCCGAATTCTTCTTTATGCATATCTGGGTATCGAAACTCGAAACTGATGCGTTGTACCGCGATAATCTTTGTATATATATATTACAGAGTGAATGAAAGTGCGCGTTCTCTCTTCGTGGTAAGCTGCTAGATGCAACGCACTTAGCCACCTTGCTCTGCGTTTGAACGCTTGTTCGCACGGTCGCGCTTTGTCGAGCGAAAAGGGCGGATTAGTCCGATCGATTCTCTCCTGAACGCGCGGCACAAAGGATCCATCGCGTTCGATCGAGATAATACCATTCGTACCCATCATTGTACGCTAACGAACCTTACCGCTCGCGGCGATGACACGCGTACATTTATGGCGCAATATGCCGAAGACGCCCCGGGCCAGAGGTATATAGTATATTCCCCGTAGAGGGAACGTGTCCGTAAGACGACCGTACCTAAGATCAATGTGTGTCGGGGGACTACTTGAAGGACCTATGCGCAATCCGGAAGCTGATCGACGGAGAGACGGAGGGATGGAAAGGGATGGAGGGGTATTGATAAGTGGGTGCTGTTTACCGTGCTCAAATGTTGACCGAACTCCCTCGATCGTCTCCCGGCACCATATTCTGCTTTCAAACGAACCTAGCCTTTAAACGAGTCCACGGTGGACTCTCATTCGTGTGGTGGGCCGGTCAAACGACGCGAGTCTTCCCGCATCAACGAGGAAATTTGTTTTACATTTTTTCCCGCCTCTGTAGGAAACGGCGAAATATTGTCCGGCAAATATTTCGGATGTATCACTTTTTTTCGAAACAACATATTTTTTCTTAGGTACATCTTTTTTCAAAATAAAAGTGAAATAAAAAATAGTTCATGGTGAGCTCTCATTCGTGTGGTGGATCGGTCGAACGACGCGAATCTTCTCGTATCGACGAGGGAAATTTGTTTTACTTTTTTTTCCCTCGTCTAGAAAACGTCTAAATATTGTGGATAGAATATTCTAAGAAAAATGACGATTATTTTTTGAAAAAAATAATACAAAAATTCGTACAAATAGAGAAAATTGTTATGCAACGAAATGATGGAGTTGCGTATCTTTTTATATTTTGATTTCAGAGATTCGGAATATATGAAGAAAAAAAATCGGACAAACTTATTTGTTAAAATTTTTGATTTTACTAGCATGAAAGATACTGAACATGCTCGCACATGAATATGATTCGTCATTTAATAGCTCGCTATATCGTCGATTTCGCTGTATCGATCGCTTGAAACCGATATTCGTTCCGAATGTCGAGCGATTTTCAACTTCGATATAGCGCGCAATCCTTTGAGTCGTTTGAAAAAAGTGTGCAATGTGAAAAAAGTTTGCAACCGTGTAAAAATCGATCTTTTGAAATCCCGTAGGAGATATTACTGCGGCGATTAAATTGTTACATTTTTTGGTAATGGTTTTCATTAAAACCATCATTGTGAATCCATATATAAATTTCTATACATAAATCTATAATATTAAAATATAATCAAAGCTATATAAACATTGTTACAATATAATAAAAACGTATACGATATAAGTTTTAACTATATATTATAATATTAAATATTATTACATTTATTTTATTGTAATTTGCGAGATTACATAATAATCAAGATTTTCAAAAAAAAAAAAAAATATACGCATTAAATATTAAAATCGATTGAAGTTCATCCTCAGATCTTTTGAAACGAATGAAAAACAGGTCCATTGACTAGTCACTCTTACATATTTATTCGCACATTTATTCCTTCCAGCAAAATGACGTTTGTTTTGCTACTATATATAAAATGAAAAAAATTGGGCAGTAAAATATCCGTAACCTGCTTCCGTACATCTCGAACCGATCGAGACATCGTTGACGTCGCTATTTAGAAATGAAGGCTTTCATCCCACCCTTTTTCGTCGTCCACCCCGTTCTTTTGCGTCTATATACATTGACGGGAGACTCCGGAGTGCACCCGGGGGTTTCTTCGTCCACAGTCGACGACGGTACCCCTTTGTCCGTCCAATCCCCCCCTTATGGCAGCAGGATATTACGATGATGCGACAATGAACGCAACGATCGCTATCTGCGACGAGCGTTCCGCGTTTGGGGTGGGAGATTCGAGCCACCCTTGCGGATCCCGTGAACACGCGCGTGTGTCCGTGTGAATGCTACCCGTACACACAGACGCGCACGCGTGTGTGTGTACACGTACACGCGACTATACGCGCCACCGACTAAACTACCCCCGACTGACGCCTAAACCTGTTCCTCCCCTTTTATTATGGGCCGCGACGGTTATTGGATTGTACCGTGCTATTTGTTGGCTGCCACGCTAATGGATCCATAATCACCGGGACGAATTAACGCGTTACAACGACGCTAACGGGTCGCTACTTTAAATACAGAACCGCCCGCACGTCACTTATTCCAGTGCGCGGGCGCTTAAACGATCGCCGTTCAGAGAATTTTCCGATTGTTTTACGACACAGTGTGAAAACGTTTCGTTTTTCCGATGAGATATTCAGCGATATGACGAATTATCAGATTTTCTGGGTTAAAGTTAAATAACGATTTACAGGAGAAAACACGTAAAAGGAAAACCGTCGAAAATTTAATAGAACTTGTGACTTTGTATAGATATATTTTATAAAAATGAAATTATTTATTTATGATTTTAAGAAAAGTGTAGTTTTTGAAAATGCTTGAAACATATTTCTATACGTTATTATCAAGTCGAGAGATGTGTAACAATTTATGAAAATATTTTGTCTTGATAGTATATCATAAAATATATCGTATAAAATATTATTATACATTGTAATTATTCAATTGAACATTGTACATTATATACATTCGCACATCGAATCGAAGGTCTCTAAAGCAATAGCGAGAAATGGTCTAGGGATTATGGACCGAGTCCTAATCTGTTAATTTCATTCTTCCTTTCCGCATCGTATTTTCACCCTTCGGACGTACTCTTGATTTCGACTTTTATAAACTTACTACTCTCTCTCTTCTCCGAGGCGCGTCAAGCGATCATCGTTCTCGAGATCCCCGAAGTCGTAACACACGCTCTCTGATCTTTACTGCCGCGGATCTTTCGAGATGTATGTATATACATTTGCTGCGCGTCTGGCTTTACGGGCCTGTCGAGCAAATGAAATTCATGCAAATCACGGAACCGCGCCGACTTCCCTTTGCGCTGTTGAGGTGGCATCGCATCGGTTTTGTATTGGGGCGGCGATGCGTCCAACCTACATCACGAGGGTGAAACGTACTTCCTCTTCGGTCTTCCGGCCCGCTGATCGTTTAGATAAAATTCGCAAACTGACTCGCTCGTCTTTTGAGAAACTTTGCTTAAATTATATTATCACGTCGTCGAAAAGTGCAAGTGCATGCACATCGTAATAATAAAAACTCTGAAAATTAAGATTAATTGAAAATATTAAATAAGTTTTGATTATTTTATATATTTATGAAAAACTTGCACACAACACACAAGTTACTATACATATTTGTGTCTTAATTACTTACGATGAGTATATAGAAAATAGGCTACGTTGATTCCAATTTTATAAGTACGTTTAATAAATTATAATAGATATATTACGGTAGACATACATAAATATTGAATGGCACTTGTGTTTTTTAAATATATATATATATATATATATATTTATTTAAATATTTTATATATATATTTAAATTATATATATATTTTGTTATATATATTTCGCGCTATTTTATATATAAGAGAGAAAGTTCTTGTAATAACTATTAATATTATGTTATTTTTCTTGATTTCCAGGTTATGCCAGGAACGGGCCCAATTATTATGGTACATTGATCGGACCTTTACAAGTATACGCGCATGGTATCAAAGGTACAGTGTATGCCGTTGACGATGGAACGATATTTATAAAAGGATTCTCCTATGACGGCACCGGTCCGGATGCTTATTTCTGGGTCGGAAACACCTCTCAGCCCAATCCCGACGGTTACATCGTACCTTATCCCGAGTCGGAGAGCAGCAGGTAATTACTGACGTTACTTATATTTAATGCATATTATATTTATCATACACATTTATGAAAAATTGTTCGATACATCAAATTGAGCATATAGATATATAAAAAATATATAAAGAAACATAGTATTAAATATTTTGATATAATATTAATTGATTTGCATTAATCTGTCAATCGAATCATCGAATGTCTTTTTCGACAGATTTTTCGGCCAATTTAATTCTTTAGTGAAAATGTTAATACTTTTCGAGTTATAATCTAATGAGGAAAAAGGACTTTGTTAAATTGAATTTTGTGGAGTGAAAAATTAAACAACTATATTCTGCAGTGAATTTAAGATGGAATTTATTTTAATAAATTTTTGTCGACTTAGTTATAAAGATATATGATAAAAAAAAAATTGAAAACTTACAAAGAACCTCCATCGACATTCTTGTCAAGAAAAAAATCGTCTTTAAATTGATTAGAGATGCCATCGATCAAATTTTAAAATACTCTATATAAGATTGAGGAGCAAATAATCGCAAAAAATGATTAGTATATACGATGCTTTATACTAACCAATATACTTGTCGTGCAGAATTTTTCACGAAACACGTGCTACAGTAGACAGAAAGCAGCCAAGTAGAAACGTAATAAAGCGCTCGCGTAGATGAGATACGGACGAGATTGGCGTATAATTCCCGTTTTATTAACTGCACTCTCCCGCGCATAACGACTCATTCGCGTTCGGCCTTCTTTCTGTTTTCATCCCCTTCGCCCTCTGTTCCCTCCTTTTCGCACACAAGCGCCGCGCCACGTTACCCTTCGCCGCGCCCGCAACGGGCTCTTTGAATTTCATTTCATCCCTTGGTTACGGACTGCCGCGCGCATTCGTCCTGTATCACTCTCTCGCTCACCATCGCACCCTTCCTTTCGGCCTCCTACATCCCTGACCGCATGCACAACCTGCCCAGCCCTTGGAAACCTCTGCTGCCTTGATCGTCTGCGCAGATTCGTCGGCGATATCAAAAGGCGTGAAATCAATCTTTGTAGTGAACGACACAAGTCCATATTATTTTCGGAAATCTAAATAGCTATAATACTATAATAGAATGTTGTAAGTATATGCCTTTGGGAGAATGTGAGTTTATAACTCTAATTACAGGGTGATATAAATTTCGCGAAAGCAGTTAACAATTTTTGGAATTACAGAAAAAAAACATACAGTTTTTTGTTATTGCTCTTCAGAGAATTTTGGTCCTTATTGTTCGTGCGATTCTTCAATGTCATTTATATATAGTTATCGCAATAATTGTTTTAATTATGCTCTATTACACAATCTGTATTTAAAAATTTATCCATTTTTTTACTTTTCTTTTTTTTAGCAATGATCCACGAGTATTGGGGGCGTACAATCACACGGACGTTATTCTGAAGTTACCCGGAGCAAAACGCATACGAGACATCAAGTGGCTGAGCGTTTGGTGCAGGAGATTTACGGTGAGTAAATTACAACGATCGATCAAGATCTCGAATAATGTATTACGCGCGTTTCTCACATGCTGATTTTCAGAGCAGAATGTGAGATTTAATTTTTTCGTCAGCAAAATTTCAATGGATAAAATATGTCCTACACTTTTTCGAAATACTATAAATATATAGGAACTTGCTACCACTAAATAAAAAGCTATATCCAATGATTGTAAAAAGATTACAATCAGCCATGTTTTGAGCACTTATCCTACTTTTTTTGCTCAACAAGAATGTGATGAATAATTTGCGTAGAAAATACGATTACATGACGTATGTATCTCATCGATTACTTTTGATTATACGAACTCGCATTGGTTACTTCAAAGAATTGCTCGCGCGCGAGACTCATCAAGACATCCCCTGTTTGATTCATCTACATATCGCGCACGTTTTACTCCAAACGTCACGTGACACGCAGAAAATAGAGATAACTTGATTTTTGAGAAGGTTCAGAGGGAAGCTCTCTATCGTGCATTCGGGGTCAATGGTGCGTATGAGATGGATACGGAAGCCGAGTCTCGGGATCTGACACGTGTGTATGCGCGTCTACACGTGCGTGTGTGGGTGGGTAAGCCCTCTCTCTTTTTTTTCGGCTTTCCCCGGGCTTCTCCATTCGGGTGAACACCGGTCGAAACGATTCGGCATCTCTTTATCTTTCGGGTATCTCTTTCACGCGTGTGCAGACGAGTAAACACAATAATAATCGATATAAACGATACATCAATGATAATCATTTTATCGAGAATCTCTACGAGAGAATATTGAAATTTACAAGCATTATATATTGCAAACTTTTGCGAAATTTGAAAAAAAAATTATTATTCTAATCTATGAATGATATATTTTTATCGAGTGCCAAAATATTTTCCAATCACACGAGCTTATACTCTTTTTCTTCCTTTTTTCATCTTTTAATTCTACAATAAGAAGCTCGGTGTTTTTTCTTTTATTTTATTTATTTCCTTCCTTTGCATGGTGCACGTTTATTTTCGAGTTAATCCAGCTTAGCTCTTTCAATTCCTCTCATGAAGAAGTATACAAATTAGAACGTAAGGTATATCCTCTTAAACAGATTCCACTCTCCCTCTCTCTTTCTCTCGCTTTAGCCGATGCCTAAAAATCTCAGTGCACGCGGAAGTCTACGTTCGAACGGGACTCTACCTTCAGTTTTCCCTTTCCCCAGCTTTTATCGGTCGCACACGTATGAATATAACGACACACACACGCGATATATCGCCTTTCGTGGAAGGGGAAAAGGTTTGAGACGAGCATATCGACGGTAGAGAGCAGAGCTTTTGCTCTTATATTATAGAGGAGGGCTTTAATATCGAAGTCTAAGGGGTGCTCCCGTACCGTGACAACCCTCCATCAGACACGCTCTGTCACCGCAAAACGCGCTGTCCGCCGCCTACGGTCCATTCTACCGGGTGTCCCATTACGATCGCCGCGAGTCATCGTTCGGGGTTTGGTAGAAATTGTTCTCGTTTACGGCCGCCGCCCCACCGATCGACGAACGTAAATGCGGGGTGGAAAGATTTTACGATACAAGTTTTTCTGATCTATATCTCCTCATATAAAAAGGTAGTAACAGAAGAAGCCTTCTTGTTATAATGACGAACGATTGCCTATCATTTTATTGCTGATCGATTATTTTATTATATATTTTTATATATAACAAATATATATATATATATATATATACATGTAATTTTATATTTAATATAGTTTTCATTAATTTTATTTGTATATACATATATTATGTTCATTATATGTTTATCATTTTATTTTATTTTCTAAGTCAAATATAAATTATTATATTATATAAACGAATTATAATTACATCTCTCATTCAAAATAATCGATTTTTATATATATATATATATATATCTAAAAGCAATATATAGAAAGCTAATAATAAGTATGAAGAACGCTTTTCATGAGAAAGTTTAATTCCATTTTTTCTTTACATTTCGTGGAATGTATTCTATTTTTAATGTAGATGCCATTTAAAATTAAATATGCACTACTTTACGGGGTTTCCTTTTATTCACATCATATTCTTAATATAATGTCAAAGAATGTGATATATCGAATCTTTCCCTTTTGTGATGTTTGTCGGAGGTTATTCTGAATAACGCTACCATTCAAAAACGTGAAACGTTTTTGATGAAATAAGATTCCTTGATCACACTCGAACACAAAGGAAAAATCTTATATAGTGAACACCATTAAAACATTTTGAAGATTTCCGACTTTCACGTGCGTGCTTCTCTTTCTGTGATTTGCGGAAGAAGTGGATTTCTCTCTCTCTCTCTCCCTCTGCAAAAGCTGATACTATATACAGGATACAGAAGTAAGATGTAGGTTTTGCTTAGATATCTGGTAGACAGAAGCTGTCTATCAGTCAGCACTTCCTTACGTTACCTCCGGAGAGAGGATGTATTGTCAGAGTAAACCCTCTACTCGACTCCTCTTTCCTCCTGACTCTCGGGATCTTCTTCCGTTTCCTCTCAAAGACACATCTCCCTTCTCCGACGTATCCTTCTTCCTTCCAAATCCGTCGAGCTTCTTTTCAAAGGAACAGAGATATCCTTTAGCAATATCAAACCGCCGCTCAATAGACCACTGATTCAGGTAGGATTTAGTAATTTTTTTCTTCGTCTATCTCATCATTCGACCACCGTCCGAAGCGGACAGTCGCATCACTTTTACGTATATACGTGTATTTTATGTGTGTGCGTGTACCGTACGCAGAGAGATGTTGCGAGAGGGTGAAAACGATCTCCCCTATCATCCCATTGCGATCTTATCTCGAGCAGTAGAGTTCATCTTTCGCAAAGGAATTTGAAAGCTGGTGATCGGTTTGTCATCTCGCTCTTCCGTTTTCCTTGTTCTCGCGCTGTTCAATATTTCATTTTCTCTCGATGACTCTTACTCACGATTAATCGCGTTCTTACGTTCTGCATTGTAAATGCGTGAGTGGAATGCTATCGATCGAGCGAAAGTTCAGACAATGTTCTATTTCCTTGGCTTATAAATACCATTTATTGGAAAAATGTTGAATATAATCGTATATATAATAATTTGACATTTGATGCGTTGCACGGTGAGAATGTAAATTATGCGACCTAAGATATATCGTCTTTAATTTCCTGGATTCAAATGTTGCATACTTTGCATAAGTAACAATGATATAACATTTGAAATGTATATAAAATTTAGTCATGCAAATTGTCTGTTTTAACACATTATTTTTTAAATATTATTAAAATTACATTTTTCGATGAAAATAAACGTAATTTTCTCGTGATTAAAATTATTATTCTTACATAATTATTATATATCACATATATTACAAGAGAATTCTAAAATTAATAAAATAATAAATAAAACGACTAATTATACGATAATGAAAAATGCGTTCGTGCATCTCTCTCTCTCTCTCTCTCTTTCTCTCATAAGTAATTTTAACAATTAATATTATATTTTCTGCTTTTATATCATCATAAAGAATATTATGAAAATTTATAATTATATTATATCATATCATATCTTTACATCATATATTTATAACGAAAATTTTTATCTAATAATTATTTAAATATTTTAATAAATTGTAATATTATTCATTATATACGTAGATAAAAAAATATAATAAAATTATGTTTTAGGGGTACAAAATTAATATACAATCGCGTTAACATCGTCCGTCTTTTATGGGTATCATCGTTCGGTTGATTACAGCATTTTTCACTTTCTGGCTGACATATGCGTGACATGAACCACTCGCGATTAGTACGATTACGTTCGTCGTTTCGCAACGTGACTCATTCGTATGTCCGATTAGACCAAAGACAAATCGTGTAAAGACAGATACCACGTTACACTATCTCCTCGATCTTGCATTATGCGTGTTTATTGTTTGTGTTACATTATCATAAATTAAAATTATCTATAAAATGGATAATTCGAAGTTATTTCGATCGGGTATATAATATTTTTTATCGAAATGACAAATAATTTCGGCTATTACGATAACGTTTCCAAACGAGACTTTCAAGTCTCAATACAATGAGTCAATAATTTGTTTCTTTCTACTTTTTCTGGCCATTTTCTTGTCACTCGAAAAATAACGCTATTTTTGAGAAAGTAAAACTTTTAATGCGAAAGGAAAAGACAGACATTTTTGACGTCTCTTTTTTATGTCTTTTTGGAGAATTTTCTGTTCTCGCTGAAATGGCGATATTTTCGAATGAAATCTAGCTCGCGCAAAGTGTCAGAAGTCGGTGTTCGTTCTGCTAGCCGTTCCAGTTGGAAAAAGAAATGATTGTTCCATAGTCGTGTCACACGACATTTGCATGTGAATTCTCCGGCCTCTTTTCTGTGGGTATCCCGGGGTTAATTAAATGCCTCATAGTTTTCGAAGTGGGATGACGAAGTACGATTGCTTCTGGCACCAAGTGGACGATCCGACCCTGTGCCTGAGAGAGCGTCAATTAATAACCGCTTAGAATGGATTCCTGGCGTGGAGTCCCAAAAGAGCGCACAAGTGGAGAATCGCGTTCTCATCAGACGTAAGCTTATCCTCGTCGATGTCGATATCGTACAGACAGTTTTTAACATTAATATATGCAATACTACAATTTTTAGCATTCGATATTTTTTTCAACAATCTTAAATACTGAATATATAATTTATTGAAAGAAATACCTTTCCCTTCAACATTCTATATTATACGTAATTTTTTCTCTTATGTATATAATATTTTTCTTACAAATATAAAAATGCTGAAATATTTTATTTAAAAACTGCAGTTATTACAGATGATTTAAAATTTAAATGATCAGTAAATATAAATATGTTGTATTTTTTATTCTTCAGTGAATATATAAAAATGTTGTAGTATTCTTATATATTATTACTTTTTTATTATATTTGCAACAATTCGGTATTATTTTACATTTGGC